ACCACCACCATCACCCACCACCACCATCACCCACCACCACCATCACCTACCACCACCACACACCACCACCATCACCCACCACCACCATTACCCACCACCATCACCCACCACCACCATCACCCACCACCACCATTACCCACCACCATTACCCACACCACCACCCACCACCATCACCCACCCACCACCACCCCCCACCACCAGCATCACCCACCCACCCATCACCATCACCCACCCATCACCATCACCCACCCACCACCATCACCCAGCATCATAACCAGTATCACCCATCCATCACCACCATAACCTCCCCACCATCACCTCCCCACTGCCACCATCGCCCACCCACCATCACTATCACCCACCACCACCAGTATCACCCACCCACCACCACCAGCATCACCTCTCCTCCACCATCACCCACCCACCCTCGCCCTCCTCCCACCCACCTCGGTGAGGGGCACGTGCCGCCGGTTGAGGATGTTGGGCTGGGTGGCCCCAGCCCGTGCCCGCAGCTGCCGCCCGTGGCCCCGCAGCAGCAGGTCGGGGTGGGCAGTGGGCTCGGGGGGCCCCCGGCCCAGCCGGTACCGCACCCCATAGCTCAGCGCTCCCCCGTAGGCGTCCACCTGGCAGCACAGGGGCTGTCAGCGGCTGTGCCACCGGCATCCCCCGCCCTGTCCCCACCCCGGCGTCACCTTGTCCCCAAGGAAGGGCTCTGGCAGCGCCCAGAAGACGTCGAGCGCCAGGAAGCGCCGGGACAGATCCAGGAGCTGGAATTCCTCCACGGCTGCGTCCACGTGGAGCTGGGTGGCCGAGAGCACCGGTGCAGCCGGCGCCGCCGGAACCGTCACGTTGACACCTGCGAGGGGACACTCAGCCCTCGTCCCCTGTCCCTTATCCCCTGGCGTGTCCCTTGTCCCCACAACTCACCCTTGGTGTCGTCGGGGCGGTCGAAGCGCAGGTGGAGCCGGTGCCGGTGCCGGGCGGTGCCGCGGCACGAGGTGGTGACGCCGAAGCAGAAGCAGGGCAGGCAGCGGGATGTCCCCGTCACCTGGAAGTGCCCCTCAGGACATGGCCCTGCGGGGGGTGAGGCAGCGGGTGAGGGGGCATTACCACGCTGGGGGGGGTGGGATGCAGAGGGGCAGCGTGGGTGCTCACCAGGGCGGGTGACGGTGAGGATGCTGTCGGGGATGCCAAACACCATGCCCAGGGTGTTGATGGCCTCGCAGGTGTAGGCGCCTTGGTCGGCCTCCTTCACATCCCGGATGGTCAGGGTGCCCTGCCCGGCCTCGCTCACGATCGATACCCTGCACGGCACACTTGGCACCCCGGACACGGCACACGCCGTGCCCCAAACACACCGTGCCACACAGACACCATGCCCCAAACACACCGTGCCACACACACACTGTGCCCCAAACACACCGTGCCACACACACAC